TGAGAGTGAGTGAGAGTGAAAGTGAGAGTGAGTGAGAGTGAAAGTGACAGTGTGTGAGTGCAAGTGAGAGTGAGAGTGAGAGTGTGAGTGGGTGTGAGTGTGTGTGAGTGTGTGTGTGTGAGTGAGTGAGTGAGTGAGTGAGTGAGGAGGGAGGGAGGAAGGGAGGGAGTGCGTGGGTGAGTGAGTGAGCGTGTGAGTGAAAGTGAGAGTGAAAGTGAGAGTGGGAGTGAGTAAAAGTGAGAGTGGGAGTGAGAATGAGAATGAGAGTGAGAGTGTGGAAGTGAGAGTCAGTGAGAGAGTGTGAGAGAGAGAGAGAGTGCGAGGGTGAGTGAGAGTGAGAGTGGGTGTGAATGTGAGTGTGAGTGAGAGTGAGAGAGCGAGAGTGAGCGTGTGTGAGAGTGAGAGTGAGAGAGTGAGAGCGAGAGTGTGAGTGTGAGAGTGACTGAAAGAGTGAGTGAGAGGGGTGGGTGAGAGCGTGAGTGAGAGTGAGTCAGAGGGAGTGAGAGTCAGAGTAGAGTTGTGAGTGTGAATGTGAGGTGGAGAGTTCGGGGTGGCCAAGCTTCACGGGAGAGAAAATCTCATCTCGACGACGGAGCATGTACCCATTTGCTGTTGGAGCAACGAGTGCCACTTTTAGGCAAGAAAACGGTGCAATTGACCACAAAAGATGAACACGTGATCCTTAAGGTGATCACCACCACGATGGTGCCATGCGGAACCATGACAGAAAGTCATGAATTCCTTTACTTGTTGGGGGACGCGCTGCGCATCCTTTGCGCCAAATGGTTCAGCCACCACCACGATCTTGGACCCTCTGCAGGGCACAGAAGAAGCTCGAGCAGTCAGTCTTGTGAACTTGGCTGAGTCTCAGTGCGACTTTTTCACTTTGCCAGAAGTACTCGGCTCCATAGACATCCATCTCTGATCTCACCTTTCGTTCGACCGCTCCGAATAGGGAAAGGCCCAGGCAAGGCCTGGAATAACTATTTGTTGTTCAATTTGTCGATAAAAACGACAGACTTGTCCTTCCTCTTTTCTCCTGCGTGCAAACAATCCAAAAAATTTGATGATGAGGACATCTTTGACATCTATCACTGTGTTTGTGTTCCTCGACAGAAAAACATAGACATGTAATATCTACAAAAACTAAAAGCAGCTAGAGACGATGTTGATACAACTACAAGAGTACCCCAAACGATAGTGATGATAGTTCCTTCATCTTTCAGTGCGCTCACATTCCACATGTTCACAACATTTTAATACATTTTACAACACAGGACAGCAAAAAATAGAACACGTCAAGTCACACTCACACTCTCTGCAGACCAGTCTGGCCCAGTCGGGCCACCAGACTTCAAACACAGGACAGAAAAACATAAAACACCTGAGTGAGTGTGAGTGAGTGAGAGTGAGTGTGAGTGAGAGTGAGTGAGAGTGAGTGAGAGTGTGAGTGAGTGTGAGTGAGTGTGTGAGTGAGAGTGAGAGTGTGACCCTCACAAAGTTGCAAAGGCGCGGTGCCCCGTGTATCCAGATCTGTCGTTCGGGGTGCTTCCAAGTCTTTCAGGAACGTGCCGTTCAAGTTCCTCGGCGCGTGTGACTTTCACGGCCCAAGACGGGCGGATAAAAACACCGACAAGTGGCCGGCTGTGTACAGTGTATAGCCATGTATAGCGATTGATCGCTTCACGCCAATGGTCTTAGAACCGGCGATTCGCACGTCAAAAGGATGTGTTTATTTCCTGTCTCGCTCGATGGTTGAGAGCCTTAGATGCATGTTTGTCCTGGTCTTGTTTATTTTACTTTAAGCATCCCCTTCTGGTGAATATTTTTTCAGGTTCCTTCAACAAATCCAAAAACACGATGGTCCCCTCGGCACGGTGTTGGGTATTGTTGGGTTGTGCTGTGTTTTGTTCCTTAAACAAATCCAAGTTGTAGAGTTGAAGTTTGGCAGGGTAGAGTTTGGGACGTTTTTCACCCCAGTATGATTTCCTATAGATGACCCATCACCATGTATAAACAGAACTGAACACATAAAAGTGTGTCCTGGAAGGTTTGAACCTAAACTGTCCGGCTCCCCATCCAACCGCTCCGTGTCGGTCAATACAACATGCATTTAGTTGGTGTTGGGTGGCAATTGCCAGCCAACATGGGTTTATGGGATTATGGGATCGGATAGATACACAAACTTCGCTTTATGCCATGACTTTGCTGCGCAGCTCTTTCCGATCGAATAGAACTGCTCCATGTTGTTCTAGTATGCGAGGAATACGAAGGAATCTGATCTTGCAAACCATATTCCAGTAAAGGTTGAGCAAATAATAGCAAATATATCAGGGCCCCCCTGTCGGGGTGTCTAATGATAGCCGAGCCCCTTAGAGGTTAAGGGATGTGCATTAACCACCCCAAACAGGGGGCCCTGGTATAATGACATCCATTTGTTTCTGGTTGGGATTGGGCTTCCAGCTTACCATCCTTTGCCTTTCCACAGGGTTCTTGGGCCTCAATCGCCCTGGTGCGTGTCAGGAGAGTTCCTGAATGTACCCTCCAACAGTCATAGGACGTCTTTGGTGGAGAGCCAACTTGAGGTCAAAAGGTGTTCAAGACAAGGGGCCAGTTTTCCATGTTGTTGGATAGAGGAATGTCCAAACATGATCAGTCCAGCTTTGATTTTTGCTGTTCAGAATATCTCACAACTGAAATCATCTGGAATTAATTACGTCACTTGTCCAGATAATGTTCCAAGGAAACTGAAGTTGTTTGGTTCTTTTATGTTCTTTTGACATTTTCGACTTGTTTTGGTATTTCTTCAATACAGAACCAATGCTTGTCCTACCATTTGAGGAACGTCCATGAAACTGAGAGCAACTGGGGAGAACTCGAAAGAAGTGCGACTGGTTACCGGAGTTTCGAGTGGCGACCAGATTGAGAAGATTGCTGGTTTAGCAGATCTAGATAAGCTGCCATGTCAACGTTTCACAAGACTTCCTATAGATACACATCCATGTTCTTGATTCTTAATACAAATATGTTCTGAAAACCTTTTGGTGAAGCCTTCAGTAGTCAGACGACCATCCCTTTTGTTGTGTTTTTCATGTGTTTTGAGATATTTTGCAGCCACCAGATGAACAGGAACATTCACCACACGAACAGGATGTGCTCAATATGTCTCCGATTTCGGAGATGGTAAGAGGTTGTGTTCACCTTCAAATGAGGTTGGACCTCGTGACATATAAGAGATCTTGGAACTACCCTTCACTGACAAAGATCATTGTCCGATACATCGTTTGGCTCTCAGCTTCCATCTCCGTATAGAAAAAGACACCAGCTTTGAAGAAGGTGTTTGTCAGCATCATGTCAACATGAACGGCTTGGCCGCGCACTTTCAATCAAGGGTGCTGACGCCCCCCGGGACACTATGAGGTGCTCAAGTTTTTTGACGATCCACAGGAAACTCAATGATAAAATTCTCTTGAGTGGATGCGGCACACCTATTTTCCAGGTTTACTCTTTCCTCAACGATGATTTTCTGAGAGAGTAATCCACCCCCAACAAATACGGATAGAAAGTGCATTCCCTGTACTTTCTAAGTAAAGACACTCAAGAACATGTTTTGGATGCCGTTTCTAGTTTCTGTCAATTTGGGGACGACCTGTGAAGCCTTTCTTGCTTGACTGACCTGTGCGCCATGACGGATTTTCTAGGACGATTGCGGAGCCTGCTTTTCCTGCCCAGCACCGTCGCCATCATGTGCAGGCGATGCACGTGTTGTACGGGTGAAGACCTCTGGAAAGTCGGATGCACTTCATTACAGGGATGAAAGGTGATGTGGCAGGTACCTCTTTCTTTTTTAGGGGTATGGCAACACATGGGGGGTGGTGCAAGTACACCTCCAGATGCGTGAAAAGATGAACTCTGTTCTACAAAACCAGGGGGTTGGAGGGTCGTTCATGTGGTATCGCTTCAAATATCCAAGGTCGATGGGATCCAAAGACCAGCCCAGAGTCACGAAGGGTTGTTCTTCGAACTGGCCAACGCGAACGGAGTTCGGCACGGGAGTTCCTCCCAGATGACACCCGCAAAGACGGTTTTTCTCTACGAACCAGCGGTTTTCGAGATCTATGTTAGTTTTCAGGGGTAGATTCCTCATGATTCCTCATTGAGCTGAAAAAGGTCACGCAGATAAATAGAAAGCTTCAGTCTGAGGGAAGCTGGATGTGGATGACTTCGTTGTGGACTAGGGAGCGGTGCAAATTGGTTTTCATTTGTTTGTACGAAACATTTGTCTCTGCCCACACACCACCCAAACTGGATAGCTACGAGTACAGCTACCAGGCCTGGGGGCACGCACCGGGGCAACCGGCTCTTAAGGGCTACAGCTTCTCACATGCAGTTTGGAACTACATTTTTTAGCTTTGCTGTTAGCAAAATCTAGATGATAGATATTCATACATATAGCACACCCTGGAAGTCCCTTCGACTATGTTAAAAACGGTTGAGCTGCTTTCGTAGTGTAAGACCTTATAGTAAAACAACTGTGGTTTGGTAAAACAATATTTATGGTGGATGGAAGCCTACGGTCTATTCTTGCACTCAACGGCGAACTAGGCAAGACAAGTGAACCTCTTAATAAGTTTAACCTTGGGATTCTCAGTTGTACAGCGGGAATTATATCGCTAACTGCCTCCGGAAAACTGATCCGAGGTGGGTTGTCGGACACATACTTGCCAAATCTGAAGAAGAGGAACCAGTTAAATTTGGTTTGTGTTCCTTTTGGAGGAAGCATATTAAATAAATTCCGTCAAATAAGTGGCCGTAGAAACCCAAATGCCTGAACCCTAGTATGTACCACAAGCCTTTCGGTTCCGCCCTACCTGGGCCCTCCCGACGCTGCTTTACAGGTCCGACGAGATGGGTCCATGGTGGAATGCGCCACTTGGTGTCAGAATCGGAGGGTTTTCACCAAAGTCATAGAAGTGGAAGATATCCGCCCGTCGCTCCATGGAGCTTGGTTCGGAAATCGAGTCAGGCCATCCATGGACGTGACTTGGTAGGGGTGTGTTGCCTCATTTCATCCATCTAGATCTGGTCCTGAATATATTAATATATATATATATATCCTTGTTCGTTTCAAAACCCATACCTTTTTTGCGGGTGGCTGCGAGATTCAAGAGAAGCAGGCAGGCTGGTCACGCCGGCACCGAGTACGGTGTGCCGGTGTCCCACGGGGGTGCCTGCCAGGGTTTTTGGGGTGATCAGGGATGAAGGCAAATTTAAGAGGTGCAAGGAATCCACCCCAACAAATGCAAGTGTGTCAGACGTGTTTTTGTCAACCTCTTTTCGTGAGGCAAAATGACCCAGTTTTTTGGAATCTGCGACCTTGGCGGATTCCACGACCTGCGAGCTGTTTGTTTGATGAGTTTTTAGCAAACACCTGCAAACACCTTTGCCTTCCGAGGTGTGACAACCATATCTTGCCCTATGAACTTATGAACTAAACTATGAGTCCTTAAAGAATAATAATGTATATTCCTACCCCATCAACCACATGTGCAGAAAGATTGACCAGGTCCACCTCTCATTTGAAACTTCTCTCACTCCTCCATCCGAACGGCCGACCGCTCCAGGTGGCTCGCGAGCGCGACCGAGCCGGAGGGACCGGGCATTCAGCATGTGGCACTGACGGACCGCAGCCGCTGCCCCATGATCTCGTTCATCAGGCGGTGTGACCGCAGCGTTGACGAAGGGGGTTTAGGGTTTAGGGTGGTGATTGGTAAAGATGAGGAGTTTCCAGGAACTATGACTATTGCCATGGTGTTTGCATGTGTTTGCCTATATAACGATTTTGAAACTTAAATGGGTAACATGCAAGCTTCATCTACTGAGAGTGGCACCATGTTCTGGCAAAGAGGCGCTTCTGGCAAGACATCCGTCGATCTGAAAACAATGTTCACTCTCCAGCTTTTGCAACTTCAGATCTCATCCCCTCTAGGGCAGACTAGTCATACCTTCGTTTCGCCGAAACCAGCGGGACTGGGGCCCCACTGGTTTCAAGGGGTCAGTCATACCGCTTCTATGGTCCTACCGCTGGCGCGTCTTCTCCCAGAGCCGACTCCCGACGTATCCCGAAGGCGACGGACGTCGTTCTGACAGGCAGATCCGACAGGGCCATCCCACTTTTCGGGTCTTGGACATTGGCGCGGTGGGCAACCCTTGGAGCATCCACAGCGGCGTGGTGGATGCCATCTTCGACTACCAGGCCACCAACTATCCGCCCTGTGATCTGGCGGCACGCTGGATATAATGCAGTGGCATGCAGTAGCTGTAGCTGGATATAGATCCCTTATGATCCTTTATTTGATGCGTCCGTTATTTTAGTTTTTGCCGAGGTTCTTGGGCCCAAGGGGCTGAGGGGGCGCATGGTTTGCATGGTTTGGAATGACGTTCAGTGATAACCAGTGGAATTCAGTGATAGGAAGAAAAGAACTCATGAGTGTGTTGCGGTCCAAGGAATGGTAGAAGGTCCACCTTCAGATGGTCTTCTTGGGTCTTCAGTGGGGCCTCCAAGCCAATGCATTGGTGTCAATGTGCAAATGGATGCCAATGGTGATATCATCTTTTTGGACCCAAACTAGTGTGATTTCATCATGTTTCATCATAGTTCATCCATTTGTTTGTATTTTGTACAGCTGCCAGGGTAATGCAGGGTATGACACGTACCGCTTGTACAGCTGCTCAATTTAGGGCCCAAGGTATCGAATTCAGGGCCCGGAGCCTGGTCTTGAAACATCCCGTTTTAGAGGAGATTTGCTGTTCTATCCATCTTGGACGCATGGTTGACGGCCCAGTTTCCCCAGTTTGCCTCGTCTTCTGAGGCTTCTCGACTGCGGAACTGCACACGCGCGGGAGAAGGCATGCGAAGCCACGCGAAACGCCCGCGAACGCCCACATCGAGTCGACGGAGCCACCAGTTTGGTCACATGGATCCGAATTATATCCAAAGGCTTCGCGACAAAAAACAGTTTTGGCAACCCTTGACACCTTGGGTTTCGAAGAGTATAACCCAGACGCTCCATGGGACTGCCATATTGGGGTGGTTTGGGGGGTCAATGTAAGCATATATATGACAGACATGGAGTGTCCGGGATATGTTTCTCACAGAATGCATTGTTTATTTGTTTGTCCTTCCAGTTGTGATTTTGGTTAAGCGCTTGTAACCGCCACCAACACCATCGAATGCAAGGGACTAAGGCTGACCTGCATTTTTGTTCATCATCCAATTCATTAATTACTCGAAACAATGCTGCAAAGGGGCACTCCACAAGCACCCAGGGGTTATATATATATGATATTAATTGTTTTGGTGATCATTGGAATATGTTCAGCCCGCAAAGCTTTCTGAGCTAAGTTTTCTATTGTTCAGCTATTGGTTTCCTTTGAGATCCTTGCTTAGCCTCTGAGGTCTTGTTTGATTTCTGGATCTTTGATCCAAAAAAGTACCGTTTTTTTGAATACTCTGATTGAAAACTCATCCAAATCATTGCCCCAAACAATTGTTCACTGGATTTGTCCACAAGCACCCGTGGATTGTTTTTTGTGAATCGCTTTGGGGGATGGAGCGGAATAATGAATGCACAGGTTTACAAATCAAGACCCAAAATTGAATCCCCAAGATGTATCGACCATTACAGGGATTGCCACGAGGCTTTTGACATGGCTCCTGAGATGCTGATCAAGTGAGCGACCAATCCCTCTCAATCCCCAACTGTTTATATGTGAGTCCATAAAACACAACAACTCTGGGATTGATTACAGACTGGGATGGACATGTTGTCAGCAACCCTTCACCAATTCTAACCTAAAACAGTATTGTACTGGCTTTTGGACACCATCAGATTATCATCGCAATTTCTGGAGGCAAAACCCACAGGCATGCGCTCCACCAAATTCATGTTGCTTGTCCCGAAGATTACGAAAATCATAAAGATCCGTTTAGAGCACACTTGGCCCATTTTGGCCCCCTACTCCCGGGAAGTATCGAAGATTTGTCCGGCATGGTCCCCTTGTTCAATCGATATGTTCCTGACCGTTTTGGAGATGAAGAATCAACAGAAGATGCTTGAGTTGTGAGGTCCGAGTTCATTCCAACACCCCGACACATTCCATCACCCAGACACTCCATGTCTGTCATTGCTTACCTTGGCCCAACTGATCAGTTTGTTCGTCTCCTTTCTCCCCCGCGGCCGCAGGTGTTGTTCGTCCAAAGATGACGACTGTGACCTGGCCGTTGGTTACAGTTGCGGGTTGGGTTGGCCATTGGATTTGGGTATTTTGGGAGACATCTGAAAACAGGCCAATGATTAGATGAAACTGTAAGTGTCAGAGGTTCCAACCTGAGCCGGCGTACTCAAAGCCGTGTTCATTCATATTTTGGGTTAGCTTGTTGCCAAAGTCTATCCAAGTCTTGCCTTGTGTGTTCTTGTTTAATGAATCGGGCCCCCTTTAGGCATATCAAAATGACAAACCTATGTATAACCTTTAGGGCTTGGCCTTTACCTTGGCTGTCAGATAGAAGTTTTTCAGAGAACATCTGCCATCAAGCCTGTCGATGCAGAATCAACTCCTAGGGATCCACTGCCACCGAACCTCAGGTTCAGTACGACTGGACCCTCGCGTCCTTAAACGGGTACTTGGGATTCACCACATCTTATTGAGATGCCGTGGGCCTGTGTCGTGCACAGGTGTCTCATCTCCTTTGCCCGTCACTGTTGAGAGAAACTGCAGATCCGCCCAAGAAGTCAGATTCAAAGTCCAAAGTTTTATCACGGTTTTTGGTCACGAAACGCCAGATCTCCCCATCCCATCCATCAAAAAGAAGAAGCTCTTTTGCCCGTCGTCTTGGGGTTTTTCTCGCGTGAGAACTGGCACCTAGACAAAAACCCGAGGCTGCCAAAAAGTACACCAGGGAATATCAAGCCTTTTTGAGAGAAGGTTCCCTACAGCGCTTTGAGCCATCCATTTCCCGCGTTCTCCACTCATTGTGAAAAGTCAAGGCTTTGACAGCCTCTACACCCGTGAGCGATGCTGTCGTGGAGAGGCACGAGTTTATTGTGTCCACCCCTGGTACGTTCGCTATCCCCTTTTGTCAAGTAGAGAGGTCCAACAACTTGGGTTCAATTGGTTTTCTGCTCTCCGGGGCTCTCCGGGTATTGGCGAAAAAAACACACGTCCAATCGCAGTCGAAGACGGCTGACGGTGTGCATCAAGCAAGCGTCCGACGGCTGCAGACCTTGATTATATAAGTATTTTATATTGTCCTGGTGAATGCAGGAGGTACCCACATGTACCCACAATAGATGTTAATCTATATTAAATCATGATATTCATCTTCACCAAGACCAGCGGGGTGCTCGTACGTCCCAACAGCCATCGATATTAAATTGTTCCCCCTGGAGTGTAGACTGTTTACACCGCAGCCTTGACAGCTACCATTGTTTTGGATTGACAGGTCAGAGACCTTGCGGTTGCCCCTAAACATGTTCCATGTGCCTTCAACGTGCGATGCTGAAACAGGCCGCTGAGTTCCCACTGCTGCTGACTGACAAACAATTCTCGATCAAAGCCAAAGTGGGAATCAGATCCTCAAGTTCCTCATCACCCAGACACTCCATGTATGCCATATATACCTACATTGACCCCCTGGCACCACCCCAACTGATCGGCATTTATGGCAGTCCCATGGAGTGTTTGGGTCATCACTCATCCATATAGGAAGACCATGGGTTTCTTGGCTTTTCCTCAGAACCCAGACATCATGGTTCATCTCCCGCGGACGAGCCGGTTCCAACCCCGCAGGAGCCGGTGTTTGTTGCGATGATCGACGGAGATGTCACTGATGCGCTTGGTGAGGGCTGGGCTGCTTGACAGGGAATCTGGCCGAGACGCAACAGGCATATTCTGCCCCGAAAGGAGATCATGTGAAGCAAAAATACATATTCCAAAAAGAGGTCCTCGAGGGTTGTTAGACGTTATGAGAAGATGACTCAACGAGGGAGAAGCAACTAAGCACCATTGACATACCATTACCATACAATTAGGTCCAGTGTCTCCAGCCCTTGCTCACTTGATACGCTTGATACCAGGTACGTCCATGAAAAGGGTACCGCTGGCTGCACGGTTCGCCCCCGGGCATCGTTGCTTTGCTCGCGTCCCGGGCATCGTGGAACGACGGGTTCGCACCATGTGCTGTGTAACCGAGACGTCGGACCTGTCGATTTGTGGTTGAACACAGCACCCGGTCACTCTAAGAGGATTTCACCTCCCTTCATTGATAGCCGCTCTGTATACACTCCCTGGAAGAATCATGGTCACGTGCAATCTCAGTAATCATGGGCCTGGGTGGATGGCATGGCCAGTTAGGATGACCATGAAATCCTCTACAAACAGGGTGAAAACGGTGCCAACCATCACTCCACTTCCACCAGGATGTTTCAGGATGTTTCAGGACGTGACCCGAGCTCGAATCGGGCCCCTTTTGATGCGGATTAGCATCATTTCCAGTCACCTGAGGTGACTAAAGTTGGTGACACCATGCTGAAGTCCTGCCCCACCTGCCCCCTAAACATCGCTCCGCGCAATGGTTTTTGCAGGCGAAGCTTATGGCTTTCGTGGACACGGTGGGGAAGTTCGACTTGGCCTCTCAACGAGCATATATTTCGGATGATTTCGGTGAAAGAAGCTGGGTTGAGAAAATGTAAAGAAGGAGACTCTCCTGATACCATGGGGCAAATATTTTGGGAGATTTTGGAAGCGTACATGTGTTCTTTTCATACTTTTCCACTCATCCAAAAGAGAAGAGGAAAAGGGCCCGCCCCTTTGGTCGAAAGTCGTTGTGCCCATGTGTTCAGAAGCCCCAATGCACAGATATGCACCCGATAATGCACCCGATGGGCCTCAGAATGCACCCGATGGGCCTCAGAATGCACCCGATGGGCCTCAGCATGAACACTGCCCCTCAGTGCCTCAGGACTGATTCTCGGCCATTTAGGATCGTCTTGGTGCCTGAGGGCTAAATCAGTGGAGGGAGCAGCTTGTGGTCGGGTGGTTTGTTCGGACTTCGCCTTGAACCAGCTTGTGGGTCCAAGCTGGGCCCCACAGTCTGGATGAACACTGGCCTTTGACTACGTCGTCAGGTTGTTCCTTTCTGTTGACTTTTGGAGGATATGAATCATACACAGCAGTTGATCGTCAGTCATTGAACGGTCCAACGGAATCATAAAATGAAAGCAGGACCTGACCAGCTGGCTCATCGTCTTTACTCTAGGAGGGGTCCACTACTTGGGGTACTACATGTCAACAAAAGGAAGAAACCATGACCATCCCACCGAATCGTCCAAAACCGCCAAACACCCATCCCATCATCTGAACCTGGTTCCGATTCACCCCCTGCTCTACGTGGTCTGAAGCCAGCGAGCGGAACGAGCGGCGCTACCGTGGTGTCCTGCGCCGCGTGCGACGCGAACCCGCCCGTGAAACACATCGCGCGGAACACTCTCGGCGCAGCGCGGAGATGACGACTTCGAGGTCCTGACCTCGCATCTCTTGGAAGATGTCACCGATCCTTCCGTGGTGGTGCGGCTGCTTCCTCGCGTGGCCACGGCCGGTGCCGTGGATGAAGGAGGGGTTTGTTGTTTCGTTTTGGAGGGGCCCGAGCGGTTGATGGGCGCCCCAGAAAGACCTCACGGCTCAAAGCACCAACCCAAAAACAGACCGCGCCGGTGGGCTTGGGAGTGCATTCCCCAGACGTACCATGGGACTGCCATATATACGTATGCTGCTGCCCCATTCACCCCCCTGGCACCACCGTTGGCCTGATCGGCATATATTCCATACATGGAGTGTTTGGGTTCGGATGTGTTGGAGGGAGCACTGGATCGGACACCGAATGGGCACACCGAGCCATGCGACGTGGGAGGTTCTTGGCCAAGGCGCCCACTCCAAGCACGGCGGAGGCGGGCCACCCATGTGCCAGCACCAGTGGACTGTGCGCCGACGTTGAAAGGCAAAGAGCCGGCAAGTGGTATGAAAACATGTGAAAAACCGATGGATTCTCTCAACCAATATGCTGACCTGAACCCTCAGCACTGAAGTTTACTAGCCCCCATGGCAGCCAAGAGCTACTTTTTGGCAGCTACTTTTTGGACCAAGAGCTTGGTCCTGATACATGAAAATCAGCTTGAATCAGACTACTGGGCGGTGGCGATATCAGGGGGCAGCCTAAAATCCGAATCCAAAGATTCGTGGCCAAAACTTCTGAGGTTTGGTCATGGTCCCGTCCAAGTATGACGAGTTCGCGCGGGTCGACATGGACTTGAACAGCTCCTTGGAAGCGAGTGGGGTGTAGACCGGAGGATATGAAGGTGGGAGAGGAAGATACATTTTGGGAGTGCAATGGAGACGAATCCATAATCTAATTTTAAAATGTCTTTAGACGTGTAATTGCGCACCCGCATGCCCGCTGGCCCCCGAGGTTTGTCGGGTCTGTCTCGGAGATACCGAGGGTCGCTGCATCACCGCTGGATTTTCACGGTGAAGGACGGCAAGTATATATCGGGTCAATTGCGGGTGCGGTGAGGGATGAGTTCTTAGGAGCTAGACAGAATAACTTTGTTGGATGCTGACTCAATGCTGACTGCTGAATCATGGAACCTGTATCCAGACGTCTCCAGCCATAGGGGGAGTTTAGTCAATACATGTCAACACTTTGGTCAGTAGCCACCCAAGCTTGGTAACCAGATGTAACATGATGTAACCAGGAAACTGCAGGAGTGGTTTTTGTATTTTGGTATTTTGTGGTTGTTTTTTTGCAAAAGGACATCAACGTGATGGCCCTGGTGTTTGAAATGAGGCCCTGGTGTTTCGATTCACATAGGCAAGGACCAAGGACCGCAAGTAGGCCGGGCTTACCAAGCCTTCAAGATCTTGCGGCCGCTCGTTTTGAAGATCTTCAAAGGCCCAAGGGAATGTTTCGAGAAACTGATGGATGTTGGGGCATGGTGACCCTGTATATTATATATCTTCAGCAAAAAAGACGCACACAAAGTCCGCAATCTGATGTTGTTTGTATCATGTCTTTTCAGAGGAACAGCTTTCTGTGTCGACTGGTTGGAGAAACCCCCGAACGGTGAACTGTGTCGCTGCGGCTTCGCAGGACAGCGAGTTGCTGGCAGTGCCGAAGCTGCCATACCTGGAGCACGATGAAAGCTTCTCCGGCTTGGACGGATGCACAGACAGAGCTTCAGTTGGTCGGATGGGAAAGAATTGGATCTTCCACTTGAATGATAGGTCGTAGTGTGGCTAAACAAAACGTGAAAGTTGGTTTCACCTCGGTATTAGAGGACAATTCAATTTGTCCATATTTATCCATACAACGGAGGCTGGAGTCCTGGAGATGTGTATGAACCCTCCCCAAAGTATTGAAACTCTGTGGTTCGCAGGCAAGCTGGAGTGAAAGCTTCCGCAAGTTCATGGCCGAATGTATCTACCACCCCAGATGACCGTTCTCTAAGAACCGAAGGCAGTTACCTGCAGAAGTACCTACGCCCTACACCTGGTGTTCAGGATGGGCCGGGTTCTGCAAGGTCGATCCATTTGTCCCTCCCTGGTGCGGTCGTTTCGGCGAAAGGCTCGGAGTACGAAGTCTTCGTTGAAGCCGACTTGTGGTGGGACCAGAGTTGAACCGCAAGATCAGAATCACCAGCACAAAGCAGGCTAGAACTAAACTAGAACCAAAGTCACTGATCAGTTCAAGCTTTCCGGGTTTGGCAGTGGCTTCTGTTTTTGGTGAACATGTTTGTTTGCAGATCTGGTCCTGATATATATAACATTCGGGTTCCAGTTTGACTCGGGAATGGAATGTAGGTCGAATAATGACGTAGCTACTAGGGGCTCCTGGCATCGCTACTAGGAACAAGAAGCTACTAGGGGCTCCTGGCCTTACTAGGAACAAGAAGGAGACAGACATGTGGACGCTCAATCAATACCCCAGACGATGTGGACGCTCAAGCGGGGCTGGAGTGCCGGCGCCTTCGGTGGAGTGCACCAGGAGGTACATGCGTCCAACAAGTCATTGGTTGATATGGCCCTTCTGTGGCGAAGCAAGCTACCGATGAGGAGCCGCAGTGGTGCTGGGAGGGAGGACATTTAGGAAGGAAATCTTTTTAGCCCAAATGCAACTTTTGCTAGGTTATCATATGGTTATCATATATTTTGGATTTGCAAAGCAACATATTAAAAAATTACGTATTGCCGTATTGCTTGATAGGCCTGACATTTCAGCTTAACTTGGCGCTTTGAGAACAATTGCCGCCGGAATTTCGTACATTTTGGTGCACCAGGATCATCAATAACGGTTACCTGGGCCCTTCTATAGAATTTGTTATTCAGATGATTCGGAATGCACTCATCAATGATGAAATAGATCGATTGAGAACCGCCATGCAATAAAACAACCACAAAATCAAGCACGATATTGATTTACATATAACAATAAAATATTCTACAACACATATACACCTTATTGGGAGGATTGATAATTTGCTTTAATAAATTAATGTTATGATTATTTACGAAATTGAATTATATTTATTTGGATCATTATTTTGTATATTAATTGAATATTCGATTATTTATTTTTGATTATATTTAATATATATAATAATGATATGAAATTATTATTAGGAATTATATATTTTGAATT